AGAAAATGCTGTTGGGGTGGGGGTGGGGGGTCAAGAAGACGCTCTAGGGCTGGGAAGGTGGCTCAGTGGTAGAGTGCTTGCCTAGCATGCATGAAGCCCTGGATTGGATTCCCCAGTACAACATATACAGAAAAAGCCAGAAGTAGCACTGTGGCTCAAGTGGTAGAGCGCTAGTCTTGAGCAAAAGAGCCTCAGGGACAGTGCCCAGGCCCTGAGTTCAAGCCCCAGGACTGGCACACCCCCTCCCCCCAAAAAGAAGATGACAACTCTCTAAGGGAAGCAGATTTCCCTGGATCAGATGGTACTTCTGTACCCCCAAATTGCCTTCACCCCAAACTCATATCTTCATATACAAGCTTGTGAGAGACACAGAGCTGTACCAGCATGGAGCTAGTGGGGGTAGTAGACCCCAGGAGAGACACCCTCTTCCCCCCGCCCCTCTCTAGGCTAAGGAAGGGCCTGAGCAAAGCAGGGGAAAAGTGTGCAGGACAGAGGGACTGGAAAGCGCTAGGGCATCTACCCTCAGCCAACCATGTGCCAAGACAGCCAGAGATGCTCCTGCCAGGCTCACACAGCTCTGACGCTCAGCTTGCCACAGGGGCCATCGAGCTGGACCTGAACCGGTTCCCGCGAGGTGCAAAGACAGCCAAGCAGTGCACCATGGAGATGGCCACGGGGGAAGTGGACGTGCCCCTGGTTTCCATCTTCAAGCAGAAGCGCGTCAAAGGCTGGTGGCCCCTCCTGGCCCGCGATGAGAATGACGAGTTTGAGCTCACGGTGGGTGGGTACAACCTTCTGCCTGGGCCCTGCTGGGGTGTTCAGGCTGGCCCTGAGCACCGGATTTGTCTGTGCTTTTCTGCAGGGCAAAGTAGAGGCTGAGCTGCATTTACTGACAGCAGAGGAGGCGGAGAAGAATCCAGTAGGACTGGCCCGAAATGAGCCTGACCCCTTAGAGAAACCCAAGTGAGTGTCCTGCAGGAAAGATGCCCAGACACCCTGCCGCAGGGGAGAAGGGGGCAGAGGGGGAGGGGCTTCTGATCTTCTTCCCAGGCTCCTTTCTTGGGCCACAGCCCCACTGCAGGGGAGCCCCTTCCTTCACTCCTGAGTCTCACCTCCACTCTCTAAGCCAGAGGAGAGGCTGTGTGCATAGGAAGGTGGGCCTTCCCCTGGGCAAGGCCCCACACATAGTGTGTAACAAAAGCCCATCTAGAAGGCTCTGGAGGCGCCTGGATTCCACAGTCAGCCCCAGGTGGACTTTTCCATCAGCCAAGGGGCCTCTCATCACGCCAGGCCCGCTGCCCTCCTGTCCTTTCTCTGTGTTCTCCCTACTCTTCTCGGTGCTCTAGCCGGCCCGATACGAGCTTCATCTGGTTCTTGAATCCTCTCAAGTCTGCCCGCTACTTCCTATGGCACACCTACCGCTGGCTACTCCTCAAACTGCTGCTGCTCCTGCTGCTGCTCCTCCTGCTCGCCCTGTTTCTCTACTCTCTGCCAGGCTACCTGGCCAAGAAGATTCTCGGGGCGTGAGCCCCTCAGCCTCCCAGGTCTGGTATTCTCCCCTGCTGCCTCTGGACCAATGCTGGCCAACCTGGACCACACACATATGTGCACAACAGAAGCACAAGCATGTACACATGCACGTGTGTGCACACATGCACACAGCACAAATCCACGCAAATGTACATGGCAACTTTCCAGCTTTCAGAACCAGACATAGCTATTTGACACATTTACCTTGGCTAGAAAGGTAAGCCACTTACCCAAGGCCATCTAACAAATGAGGATAGAACTAGGACTCTAACCTAGATGCCAAATGGTCGGCCCATGACCCGCACACACAACACTTCCTCTCCCAGCCTCATTCCTCCTAGATTTGAATGGGACTTCATTGGCAGGGGAAGCTGAGATGTGGGTAAGAATAGGAGACATGTCTGGCCAGCGCCTGTCAGCAGGAACAGTTATGCCCTCACATAATCATTACAGTTGAACCAAACATTCAGTGTCCAACCCAGGCCAAGCACCACTGCCCAGCCCCAAATCGCCATGGGCTCTCACCTGGCTATCTCACCAACCCCAGGAAGAACTACCACCACCCATTTTTTTTTTTTGGGTCCAGTCATGGGGCCTGAACTCTGGGCCTGGGCGCTGTCCCTCAGCTCTTCAGCTCAAGGCGAGCGCTCTACCACTTGAGCCACAGCGCCACTTCTGGCTTTTTTCTTTTTGCTTATGTGGTGCTGAGGAATCGAACCCAGGGCCTCAGGCATGCAAGGCAAGTGCTCTACCACTGAGCCACCTTCCCAGCCCCACCACCCATTTTTATTGAATGAAGAAATCGAGGCCCAAAGGCATACTTAGCTTGTCTGCCACAGCTGGGACTTGAAATTGTTGCTTACTTACACTGAGCTCAGCTCTGGGTGCAGGCCACATCCTCCAGGACTCAATTGGGCAGTACATTTGAAAAAGTATGCTCAATGTTTTCATTTTGTATCTTGACACCTTATGGAGCTCTATAGTTTTTGTCACACAAACTACACAGAGTAAAACTTGACAGTCAGTGCTTCTTAGGAAGCCCCGCAGAAGACAGTGGTGAGCACCCTGCTAGTAGGCAGGTTGGTAAAGGCAAAGTATCTTGCTGGAATTGCTCAAATGTTTTTCAGGGCCTGGTGGGGACAAGAAATTTGTGTTTATCAGAAAAGGAAAGCTGGGTACCAGTGGCTCACACCTGTAATCCTAGCTACTCAGGAGGAAGTCAGCCCAGACAGAAAAATCCATGAAAAAGGCCTCCAAGAAAAGGCCTGAAGTGAGGCTGTGGCTCAAGTGGTAGAGTGCTAACCTTGAGCACAAAGAGGCTCAGGAACAGCACCCAAGTTCAAGCTCTATACTTTGCAAGAGGAAAAAAGAGAGGGGAGGAGGAAGGAAAGAAGGAAGGAAGGAAGGAAGGAAGGAAGGAAGGAAGGAAGGAAGGAAGGAAGGAAGATGTTTTTTACCTTGGAGGTAAAAGCAGGAGGATCAAAGTCCAGACCAGCCCTACACAAGAAACATAAGATCCTATCTGAAAAATGACAGAATAAAAGGGCTAGTGGTATGACTCAAGTGGTAGAGAGCCTGCCTAGTAAGTTCAAGGCCCTGAATTCAAACCTCAGTGCTGGGGGAGGACACAAACAAAAGGAAGAAGTTGAGCCCGACTGATCTCCTGAGGACATGGGACAACAGAAGCCTATATCATGAACTGCTAAGTACAGGGCCCACTGACCACTAGAACAGCCTAGTCATCAAGCCCAAGGCCCTGTTTCCAGGTCATAAGCTGCCCATCACTGCATGCACTCAGGTTGAGGCTAGATAGCTGCCCCCTCACCTGCCAAAAGCACCATCTAGGTCTGGGGAGGAGTGTGGCAGCAGAAGGCCCGTGTGAAGGACAGGGCTTTGACAGCAGCAGATCTGATGCACAGATAGAGGTTCTCTACCCAGAATCAGGGCCTTGAAGCTGTGACAGCTGTGACTTAGGACATAGGACAGAGGGCTGGGAGTTGTGTGGGGGCAGCTGTGTCCATTGCCTGAGCAGCCTCTCTCCTCGGCTTCTTTCTCCAGTCGGCCTGACACAGCCTTTGTCTGGTTCCTAAACCCTCTCAAGTCCATCAAGTACCTCATCTGCACCCGGTACAAGTGGCTCATCATCAAGATCGTGCTGGCACTGCTGGCACTGCTCATGTTGGCCCTCTTCCTCTACAGCCTCCCCGGCTACATGGTTAAGAAGCTCATTGGGGCGTGAAGGCCCCTCCCACTAGCACCTCTTCCCAACTCTTTCCCAACTCCCTCAGGAACCCCACACCCATCCTGAGAGCCTTAGGGCTGGGGCCTGCCTTCTACCCGGAGTCTACCCTTCTCCAACCCCTCCACCAATCAATCTGCTGCTTGTCTGGTCCTGCTCCTCCGATTCTCCTGTGGGATGGGGCATATAGGAAAGGGGTGGGGACCTAGAGCTTTGCCCCGTCTTGTTAAGACACCACCCTGCTGAGGAAGCCACCCCAGCCCTCCCCCCTGGGCCTTCCAAGTCTGGTAAATGCATCCATGAAATTAACCAAGGAACATGCCTTTCAGAAGAATGAAAGAGCAAAGCTCATCACCACCCATCTGCAACAATCATTACACCTGGAGAGCAGAGGCAACGCCATCCTTCTTTGCTCTGCAGTGCTAAGCCACTCATGGCCCACCCACGGGCCCTGCAGCTGTGGCTGCAGCTGCGCCTGCCCACCCTCCACTTGTCCCACTTCCTTCCCAGGCAGCACCTGGCCTGTGGGGCAGGTGCACAGCCTGTGGGTTTCCATCCTTCACAGGGCTTTCTCTGCCCAGGGGAGAGCTCACAAGCCTGGAGAAGAGTATTGTGGGTGACCCCTGGGCTCCACCAGCCCTGAAGGCGGTGCCTGTGCCTTCCTGTCTTGTAACCCAGCCAGGAATATGCGCTTGAACTACTGCCCCCTGCTTGTGCCTGCGTTTCTGTTGGCTGATTTTTCTTGAGTGTGATTTTTTTTTCTCTTAATAAAATAAACACTGAGCTGATGGGCCTGCATTGGCCTACTGAAAGATGGGCCTCTGGTGTAGGACGCCGGGTTAGCAGTCACTCTGGGGTGGTACGTCTTTCCCTTGTGGGTAACCTCTCAGGGCCCAGCATTCAAGGTGGCCTCAAGCACAGGGCTACCAGCTCAGATTTCCCACAGGAGATTCCTCCCAGCACAATCCAATGGGCATGCCACAGTGGGCTCCTAAAGCACTGAAAAAGCTCTGCAGGCCTGGGGACAATGTGAAGCCTCACAACCCCCAAAGGCCACATAGCTCCAGTCTCCATCCACAGAAGCCAGTTGTCCCCATGAGCAAGAGGAGAACCAGCCTCAGCCACTGTCACCATCTCAACGCAGGGACAAAGGAAGGGGTAGCGGACCTTGTCTCACTATACTGGCATTGCCTCTTTAAAAGAGATACTGCCTCAGCTGTCAAAAGACTTTAATCAGAACTATACATACAGGTTGATTCTGAAATGTGGATACAGACATCTTGGGAAAATGAGATGTCCCGAGTCCTCGAGAGATATGTAGGCACTGGCTTCTGCACCAGCACCAGCTCAGATTTGCCTCTATTTTGTGGGCATCTGGAACACTTGAGTTGGAGGAATATGCAGTTCCGAGTTTATCTGCAAAAAGAAGTGGTGGAGGTTATATCCTTGCTCCAGATTCTCTTCTTCATGGGCTATGGAGAGTCAAGTGCATATATACTGACTCTCCTCCCAGAACCTTGACAGCTCTGCAAGCATTTCCTCTGCAAAGCCAATGATGTCTTAGGGAGCATGAGGCTGCCTTCCTTCTGAGTCAAGCCAGGACTTCCTGTTTGGTTTCAGCTCCAGCTAGCAATCTCTGGTAGAGTTCCTCATCTCTCCCATCCATTCCCGTAAGCTCCTTCAGCTCTTCATTCATTGCATCCCAGTCCAACCCACCCTCCCCTCACCTCCATCCTCTGTACCTAGAAAGCAGGGCCCATTCAATCCCCAAAACATCTGAATCCTGTCACAGGCCATGGGGCTATCATGGTGCAAAGGATCAACCTTTCTGCCTTCTTGGTGTGGTCTAGGATCTGAGACCACCAAGTGAGAGCCGCAAATCCCCTATGTGTAGACACAAGGTAGGTCTCAGTCACCTCCCATGTGTCTAGTCATGATGCTCCTGGCCAGGGGCCCATTATCATGTGAAGGATGTCACATCAGCCACAGAGAGCACACAGCTGTGATACAAGGATTTTTCTTTTCTCCTCTGGCCAGATACAAATAAGGTCAGAGCACATCTGCCCAGCATGGCTTCCTGTCTCATCTGAGAGCAACCTCCCAATCATGTTGCAGGCTAAGGAAGCTGGGCTGGCAGAGTGGAAGGAGCTCAGGGCTCTGGACACCTCACCAAGTCTCCGAGTTCTGCATCTTCTCCTTTTTGTACAATGGGGAGAACAGTTTCTATCTCTCTCGCAGAATGGTGTTAGGACTGAAGAAAAAGTACATGGAGACCTCTAAACTGGGAAGTTACTTCTGGCTTTGACATTGCTTTTTTTGTTGTTGTTGTTGTCTTTGTTTTTAAGTGATCTCAATAGGGTGGTACTAAAACCATAAGGATCAAAGGCACAACATAGCTGGCCTGAAGGGGACTTGAAGTAAAATTCACTACCTAGCCAGTAATTATCTCCACCAAAGGTGACTTGACCTGGCACATCTTCAAGCTCCCTCTAACTCCTGGGAAGAGGTTCTGTATCCTGTGTCAACCACAGCGCCCCCACCTCCCACCACTGGGGCCTGCCTAGGGAATAGTGAAGCTGTTGCCACGGTGGCCGCAGACTCTGACCCTCGGAGCCCCGCCCTCCACCCACTTGGAAAGGAGATGCTACAGCCTCAGCCTCAGGCCCCGCCCCCTCAGGGCCCCGCCCTCCACCCACTTGGAAAGGAGATGCTACCCTTCAGCCTCAGGCCCCGCCCCCTCAGGGCCCCGCCCTCCACCCACTTGGAAAGGAGATGCTACAGCCTCAGCCTCAGGCCCCGCCCCCTCAGGGCCCCGCCCTCCACCTACTTGGAAAGGAGATGCTACCCTTCAGCCTCAGGCCCCGCCCTCTCAGGGCCCCGCCCTCCACCTACTTGGAAAGGAGATGCTACCCTTCAGCCTCAGGCCCCGCCCTCTCAGGGCCCCGCCCTCCACCCACTTGGAAAGGAGATGGCACCCTTCAGCCTCAGGCCCCGCCCTCTCAGGGCCCCGCCCTCTACCCACTTGGAAAGGAGATGGCACCCTTCAGCCTCAGGCCCCGCCCCCTCAGGGCCCCGCCTCTCCGCTCCCCACCTTGGAGTTCAGATACTGCTGTAGCATTGCCTGAAGGTCTGCGTTCTGCTTCTCCAGATTATTGTTTTCCCTCAGCAGCCTGGTCCTCTCCGTCAGCAAGAGGCTTTAGGCAGGAAAACAGGTTAGAGGTCCACTGACTCCTCCGACTCCTCCGGCCCTATGCCTTATAAGAGGCCAAGACTTCTGTATCTGCCATTGCTGGGGTCCGGAAGCCTCTGGAAGCCCCGCCCTCCACCTAGGCTAGCAGGAACCTGGCAGGTAGGGCTAGAAGGTCAGCTACCTAACATCCTCGTGTTGCCCCACAAAGCAACTTTTCTATTCGGAGGTCAGACTGTAGGATCATCCTCACCCCCCCACCCCCGCCTGGGCCACAATGTCACACTTACTGGTATTTCTCCAAAGCTTCGTAGAGTGCATCCCAGAGGTTCTGCTTGACAGGAGGGATGACTGTGGTCAGAGCCTCCCAATACTGCGAGTCTTTTGAGTCATCTCGGGCTCCTTTCCGCTTTCTCGGTGTTGTAGCCAAGTCCCTGAAGATCAAGAGCACTGGCGCGGTGATTCCCCAGGCCCCTCAAACAGTTACCACACTTCCACCTGCCATGTTACCATTCAGCTATCCAAGATGTTGGCAAATTCTCAGAAAGCACATCTGCTTAATCACCCTTGTTTTGTGCTTTGAACTTCCATCACTTCTGTGAATGACTAGTTGTCCTGCCACTGGTTTCTCTCCATCCCTTCCATGATGCCTTTAAACCAGGAACACCAAGCCGAGTGCCGGTGGCTCACGCCAGAAGCCTAGCTACTCAGGAAACTGAGATCTGAAGATCGCGGTTCAAAGCCAGCCTGGGCAGGAAAGTCCGTTAGACTCTTATCTCCAATAAACCACTAGAAAACTGGAAGTAGTGTGGTGGCTCAAGTGGTAGAGCGATAGCCTTGAGTTGAAAAGCGCAGGGACAGCGCCCAGGCCCAGAGTTTAAGCCCAGAAAGGAAGGGAAGGGGAAGGGAAGGGAAGGGGAGAGGAGGGGAG